AGACAAATACAGTAGTTGTCCCAGATCCTATAATCATTAACTAGTTTGCCCGCCAAAGTGTGTGTGTGTGTGTGACTGTGTTGTGATAAATGACTCATATCTTTGCACCTGTGGAGATATGAGAGTGTGTATCTAATCTGAGGAGATGAGGATGGTTATAGTATCGATAGCTCATGTCATTTATTTAAAGGCCAGAATCAATATAGAATGGATGCTTCCCTAGATTACAACAATCTACTATAGTTGATGTTGAATATCCCGTATTCACCCACTGACAACATGGATATGGTATATAGGCCTATGACTTGCTCCAGAGGGCTATAACTCGCTCCCACTTACATCCCAGACACATGCAGTGTGTCATTCAAGCACCTAGCCTACTCACTCAGTGAGACATGGTTTGCTTCCCAAATGGCATCCTATTCGCTATACAGTGCACTACTTTTGACCAGAGCCATAAATAGGGAATAGGGTGATATTTAGGACACAGGTCCGTGAGATATGGGCCTGGGAGTGTGAAATGAGTGGAGTGAAATCATGCGTGAGATGTGTGGGTGTGTTAGCTTTAGCATTAGGAGGCTAGCGCTGGACTTACTTTGTGCCCCATGTGGCAGCAGGAATGTTAATACAGGAACCGAACAAAACGGACTGACAAATGTATCTTATCTACACCTCTCTCTCTCTTTCTTTCTCTCTCTCTCTCTTCCTCCCCCCCCTACCTATGAGGTTACTGTTGAATCACTCCCTAAAGATATCCTCTTCTCTCTTTCTCCTACCTCAGGGCATGTCTTTCTTTTAGGGCTGGGACAATGGAGTGATGTGTTGCTTCATGTGGTAAAGGACCTGTGAGGCTTAGGCCCTCATTGCGGAGCGCTGGGGAACAATAGGGGCCGTCTAGCCCTCTAGGCAGGCCTAATGAGAAACCGTTCACTTTTAAAACCCACACCTAAATTCTCAGAGTCATCCTAGGATTATCTCACTCTGCTCAGTTCTCTTCAGTTGTCCACCATGTTAGAGGATCTGTCATACATGTTATCTTAGTATACCTGTAACACTAATATAATATAGTACATACAGTATTGCCTAAATTGTATACTTTGGTGTGTACGATATCTGACATGACACATGATCATATTCTGTTTGTTGATTATAGGACCGCTAAACTGAAGTAGTAGCTTATGTTTTAGACATTGGTAAATGAAAAGTATGTCACTATGTACTGTCCCTGTATCTTTTGTACTGTACACATTTCCCGCTCTAGTTGAAATTGTATTACAGCATGCAGTATGTCTCAGTCTCAGTCTGTCAGTGATTGATAGAGCAGATGACGGCTCTGGCTCATAATGCAGGAATGCAGGTAACTAGGGTTTCTATTTCAACTTGGTACATGCTGCATGGGGGGGAAAGTGGGTTATGTGGGTTGAAGTCTCTCACCAAGCAGCTGTCAGATAAATGTACAGTTGTCAGTTGTAAACACAGTCTATATCAGGTAGCATAGGGGCCACAAGACAAGCCTGAAGCATAGTTAAGTTTTGTTGTTGTAATTGTTTCACAGTAGGGAATATGCTGTTATGTGGATATTGCTGTTTTGGCTACATGGCGCTACTAGACTAAATACAATATCTCTGACTTAGACTCATTGTGAAAATATTTGTAGTCTGCTTCACACATAATATACTCACATCAACATACACCTAATGGTTGACACACAAAGAACTGTTCTCAAAGCGCTTTTGTGAGTCACCTGAAGGAATCCCAGAAGCCTTCATGTCAGTCTGCACCACTCACCCACAAAGGTCAAGGGTCGCAAGGAGGTTTCTGCTCCCCAGATGCCTGACCTCTTAGCCCCCCTCACAGACACAATGGCTCTGTGTGGAGGAGTGTGTGGAGTGGAGTGAGGTTTGGAGAGAAAGGTAACATGTTCCACTATGAAAGCCTTCACTGTTCACACAGTCACACACAGTAACCTGAAACACTGTTGCGTTTACGATTGACAGTTATGGGGCCTCATTTCTAAACCGTGTGTATGTACAAAATATACCGCAAAAGTTGGCATTTATAAAAATCTAACTTGACGTGAGAATGTGCTCACCTCCATTCAAACTGTAGACCATGCTTACGTATGGTTGAAATATTGTATTGCAAACTGGCAAGTAAGTATTTTGTGCAAATGGGGGAAATGATGAAAAACTTGTTCTTAACAAACGAAAAACAGGAAAATATATTAACAAGACTGCAACCATTTGCCATTAGTGAGAAGAGCAAAAATCTGTGTTTTATTTTTAGAATCTAAAATAATTAGACATAGCAATCTTTTTCCTATTTTATTTTCATAACCATTGCAGAATATATTTCTCATCTTTTCTGGCCGTGATGGGTTCATATTCCCCGAAGGAGCCATACAACAAATTACCATGCACATCTCTCATTTAATTGGACCTAGTAGTCTAGTAAATAGATAGGCTATATGTATTTCAAGTTTTGCAATATCATTGGCAGCGCGGTTTATAATACCGTTGAATTTAACAGCTGATCTTTTACATTGAAGTGGACCTATGTATCAAGTTTAAAGTTTCACGTTTTTATTGTCATGTGCACTAGTACAGTGAAATGCCTTTCTTGCTTGCTCTTTCCCAACAAAGCAGTACTGAATATCAGTAGAACCATAAAAAATGTATAAGAAAGTAAAGTAGAACAAAACACATGTGAAATAGAACTTTAACTACTGGTTGGGGGATAAAGTCGATTTAAAACATTGTTGATTTCAAACGTTCTGCTGACAGGTCCACGACAATTTGCCAATTGTTTTCTCGTTCAGAAACTGACACAGTCCTTTTCCAGATACAGCATAAATTACACCTAAAGATTAAAACATTCTGTCAACACAGTAAACAGACCGGTAGCTTATGTAAAATATTTGACAGTATGGGTAGGCTACAGTATTGCTGGGCGATAGGAGCACAACATCATTGCCTATTTAATCTCAGAGCCTATACCAAGACAGGACATATAAACCCAATTATCTATTGATAAACTAAATATTGATCAGCAGTTCGTCTTTTGCATGCCGTGTCCTAATGCCAATAGTTCCAAATTATACATAAAAGGTGAATGGAGGCGTTTTCCAGGTGGAGTTTTAACGCACGTTCACGCTCTGAGAGTTTTACAGGTCTGATTTATACCAGGAAACATGCGTATGTATGGCATGATCAAAGTTGATGAATCTCAATATTTTTGTACCTGCACAGACTCTTCAGAAATGGCGCACGCAGACATTTTGTGTGAAATTTAAGCAACAGTTATAAATGAGGCCCCTGATGTCTAGGTTCACACCAGATAGGCCCTACTTAATCACATATTCCAGTTAGGCTTCAGTAGAGCCTGTAATTGACATATTACAGTGCTTTACAGTGCTGTTTATGAGACTAGGGTAATTTCATATGTGTGAACCTTTCATTTTGTGCCTCTTTGTCATCACATTACAGTGTCCCATATAGCAAGTATTGAGCAGAAACTAAAGAAAAGCTGTATTAGTTAGCATTGAGGCAGAAACAGTAGCTACGCCATGACTTATCCTGCAGGCTCAATGCTAAATATTAGCTAACATGCTTCCTGTTATAGTAACACAGTAGCAGTTCACTGTTTTTCTCTTAGTGAGTTTGTCTAACATGAGACTGTTTGTGCTTATTGTTTGGTAAGCGTGCATGTTTGTTTCAGCTTTGAATTTGTAAAGTAGCTAGCTAACTAGCATTTAGCTGTGTGCCTGTGCTGTAGCCACAGTGTACACAGTAGAAGGTAAACAGCCACCAGCAGTCTGCTTGTCTCCATGGAGACGCTATCACAAAGGACTCCAGCTGGTGGCATGGTATGTAAGCGCGAGCAGACGGAGCTCTGACTGCGTCGCGAGGAGGGAGGGTGGGAGGAAGCTCTGGAGGCCCACCTATCACTCCTCTCTCCCCCTCTGTCCTCACCCCCTCACCCCTCTCTCTTTCGGCTGTCTGGACCTCTTCTGTAGTTCCTCCCCCAAGCGCCATGCAGCTGCACTCAGCTGTCAGTGTTCCACCCCCCCCCCCCCCCCCCCCCCCCCCCCCCCCTTTCCTGTCTTTGTGTTTGCATGGCGGTGGTGCTGGTGCTATGTCCTTGTACCCCACGCGGGGGAGCTCAACACTGTTAGCTTAATAGCCCAGCGTTAGCATACCCCTCTTTAACGCAGCCTCAGACACTTGTGTGAGAGGTGGTTAGTTCTCTGCTTCTGTTACCCCTCATAGCAATCCACTGTGCAGGTGTTTGAAAAATCAAAAGTTCCTAAGGACACAATACACACACTCAGAAAGTGGTTATAGTCCTCTAATGGGAAAGTGTGATCAATGGAGCCAGAGATACTCTTGTGTTTTACTTTTTTCTCAGGGCATGAAGAAGTGAATGGAGGCTTTTTTGTGAAGGGGTGTGTGAGGGTGGTGCGTGTGTGTGTGTGGGGTGTGTTTCTTTGATAGTATCTAGCTCGGGGGGGAGGGGATTCACCCCTGGAGAACAGCTATTCACACAAGCTTGTCGGCATGGGGTTTTGAAGCGTTTGTCAAAGAGGGATTTGGGCAAGTGCCAAGAAGAGTTTTGTCATTCATAAACTCCTCTACCCTCTTCTTTGGAATGACAATACACACAGCAGGTTTCACCTCAAGAAAGGAGTGGAAATAAAATGTAAACCCAAGCACCACTTTAATTAAGAAAGTGTGTTATTCCAAGTCTATCTTACACAACAGAAGACCTTAACTTGATTCTGAATTAGATGCAAATCTAAGATCAAATTGAAATTAAATCCTAGTTTTAAAGAGTAAGATATTTAATAAGAAAGAAAGAAAGAAAGAAAGAAAGAAAGAAAGAAAGAAAGAAAGAAAGAAAGAAAGAAAGAAAGAAAGAAAGAAAGAAAGAAAGAAAGAAAGAAAGAAAGAAAGAAAGAGGTTTTCCACATCCATTCCCTTCTAATTGAGCTTTGGTAACAAATGTCACATTCCTCCCTCGCTGTTCCTTCAGACAAACACTGCGTCCTTGAGACTATCTATCTGGTGTGTGTGTGTGTGTGCTATTTCACTGTCACGGCTGGCTTAAACATCAAACTACTCAAACTCCTCCATCTCTGTGGAAACTTGCCAATAGTCTTATCATTGCGTTTGTTCTGTAATTTCCCCCCCATATCAGTGTAATGGCATTGTGTCATATGGACAGCCAAATTGGACTGCGATTCTTTGATGTGGAATATTTCTGAGGTTTTGTTGTGTTATGCAAGGGATCAAGTGGCGGGATGCTCAGATCTGGAAGAAGTTGGTTTAGTCCTTGTGAGGGATGCATGAAGTTTACTGTGATCATGAAGTTGCTAAGCACATAACAATTCACACACGCACAGAAACACACACACACACACACTGCTGCGCAGGTCACCGCTGACAACAGATTCAGATGGATGACAAGCATATCAGTCCCAAGCCAGGAAGTCTGCAGTGTGCCTTGATGTGGTCATGAGAGGTTGAACTGTTTGGCTGCACTGTGTCAACAACCATGTGTGTGTGTGAGTGTGTGTGTGTGTGTGTGTGTGTGTGTGTGTGTGTGTGTGTGTGTGTGTGTGTGTGTGTGTGTGTGTGTGTGTGAATCCTCTGACCTTCTGCTCCCTGTTCGGCTGGTAGGGCCAAGACCTTAGCCTCTCTCTCTATCTGTGTCAGTCAGTGTATGTGTCTCAAATGGCACCCTATTCCCTATATAGTGCACTACATTTGACCAGAACCCCAATAGCTGGTCCTATGGGCCCTAGTCAAAAGTGGTGCACTGTAAAGGGAATAGGATGCCATTTGTGATGCAGCCAGCGTGTGGGTGTTTGAGAGAGTGTGTTTGTGGTTTCATACTCCGTAGATTGCCTAATGGTCTGTACTCAGTGACCTTTGGCGAGATCAGCAGTGTGTGTCAATCATAGTCCCCCATGCAGACATCTGCAAAGCATCAGAACACTGGGGCCCATGTTTAGCTCATGTTTAGGATGCTTTCTCACAGGGTGGCCTGAAGTCACTTCATAATCGATTTTCTTTTATCATGATGATATTAAAGAAGTGATTATAATTTTTAAAGTGTGGGTGCTTATAGTTAGTTACATAGCACATTATACGTGTGCTATAAGGCATTATAAATGACGTTATATAGCATTATACATGCTTCATAGAAAGTGTTACCAAAAATCAATTGCTACACTGTTACAGCTTTAACTGGATGGCACAAAAAAACAAATGTATTTGTCTTGAACAACAACTGGCTAACAACTGGTAATATAGTCTTCGGCAAGTCTTCCTGTTAGCTACAATGATCTAATCTCAATACAATATTTTCTATGTAAGCCTCCCTCTCCGAACTTGTCAAAACTTGACCATACAGACTCTTGGTTGCCTTGAAGGATTCAGTCATTCAATCGTGGTCTTGACAGGAGGCTTTAAGGCAGCCAGCCAGCCAGGCAGGCAGCTCTCTCACCTCCACAGTGGTAAGGCTTTGTAGCTGTCAAGAGAGATGGGAGGGCCCATATAAGCCTCTGATCTAATGCTTTTTGACACGGCACTCACACACACACACACACACACAAACACACACACAAACACACACACTCCGTGCTCCGCACTCAGGGTGTGGCAGACAATGTGCCACGGTATGCACCTGCCACCGTACCCTTTAGGATGTTTGTCTTTTTCAGGGATTAAAGGGATTCAGGAAATTAACTCACTGTCCGAGTTTCTGGGACAGGAGTCAACAGTAGTCAGCCAGTGACCTAATTCTGATGGGGACATGGAGGGAAGAGGGAAATCAAAGGCATAATGTTGTTCTGTTCTGTTTTGTTGTGTTATGTTCTGTGTTTGGTGCTTTGGAAAGGTTGCTTTGTGTCTGATGGTGTGTGTCCTAAATGGAACCCTATCCCCTATATACATGTAGTGTGCTACTTTTGACCAGGTGCACTATTTGGACTAGGGCCTGGTTGAAAGTATTGCACTTTATAGGGAATGTGGTGCCATCTGATGTGCTCTGTGTGGACTCCCTGCACACCAGGGCTTTCTTACCTGCCAACCTGTCGGTGTAATCAGAGATGGCATTCACTGACAGAGAGAGAGAGAGCGATAGAGAGAGATAGAGAATTGATGTATATGTTAGTGTGAGTGAATTTGTGGATCTTGTTTGTTTGAGCATTGATCTTTGCGTTAGGGCTTGTTTGCTGTGACATCCTACCTGATTACACAGTATACCCTTGTTCATATACTCTCTCTCTGTCTTAACCATATACACACACACACTGCTATACAGTTGATCTGTTATGATTACGTAAAGGAGGCCAGGCAATAGAGGAGATCTGGACAGCAGCTTTCAGCCACACTAGACTAGATCAGTAGGTCAAGTGAAGTGACCAACGGACAAATCCTTTTAGTAAGTTAGCTAAGCTTTGTTAAAGATGCTCTTAATTCATTTAAACTCTGACAGCAAACCTAGCTAATCCCCCTGTGAACTACATTTTGGTCGTCTTCTCCATCATTTCATGTAGTTTTTCTAACCAGTTTTTCCACTTCCTGTCCCCCTCTGCAGTGTCGTCATGCATCACCACATACAAGAAGACACCTCCGCCGGTGCCGCCGCGCACCGCCCCATCCAAGCCTGTCATCTCCATCACGGCCCAAAGCAGCACAGAATCGGCCCAGGACGCAGATATGGATGGGGGGTCGGGTCTCCGGACCCACATCAGCACATCTCAGCCCCGCCTGTCCAACTCCACTGAGAGCATCGACAGTATGAAGGTATATCATATAATAACGTTTATCGTATATTATGAAAATATTATACGTCTTAACGGTATAGGTACAATCTGTTTTGAATTTGTCAGTGTCATTTTGTGCTTATGATGTTATCAGTGTTTTTATATTAATCCCAAAAATGTATGCAGTTGAAGTCTGAAGTTTACATACACCTTAGCCAAATACATTTAAACTCAGTTTTTCACAATTCCTGACATTTAATCCTAGTAAAAATTCCCTGTTTTAGGTCAGTTAGGATCATCACTTTATTTTAAGAATGTGAAATGTCAGAATAATAGTAGAGAGTGATTTATTTCAGCTTTTATTTCTTTCATCACATTCCCAGTGGGTCAGAAGTTTACATACACTCAATTAGTATTTGGTAGCATTGCCTTTAAATTGTTTAACTTGGGTCAAACGTTTCGGGTAGCCTTCCACAAGCTTCCCACAATAAGTTGGGTGTCACGCCCTGGCTCGGGGGACTCTTAAATGTTGAGCCAGGGTGTGGAATTTCTGTTACATTTTCTATGTTTTTGTTCTAGATCGTTTAGATCTATGTTGGCCAGGGTGGTTCCCAATCAGAGGAAGCTGTAGCTCGTTGTCTCTGATTGGGGACCATACTTAGGCAGCCTGTTTTCACTAGTTTATTGTGGGATCTTGTTCCGTAGGGTTTTGTGTATAACCTAGGACTTCACGTATCATTTGGTTTATTGTTTTGGTTCGTGTGTGTACACAATAAAGAATGTACGCTTATCACGCTGCGCCTTGGTCCGCTTCATCTGTCGACGATCGTGACAGAAGATCCCACCACCAGAGGACCAAGCAGCGTGCCCAGGAGGAGAAGTTGGCGATGTCCCAGGTGGGCGAATGGTGGTCTTGGGAGGACATATTCGCGGGCAGAGGGCCATGGGCAAAAGTAAATGCCCAGGCAGGAGAGGAGAAACGGTGCCAACCATGCCGACGACGGACACGCGAGAGGCAACCCCAAGTAATTTTTTTTGGGGGGGGCACACGGCGTGGACGACGGGGCTGCTTTAGGCAGCTACAGGGCGAATCGGCGGACTAGGAGAGGAGGCCACAAGGTTACGGGGGCTATTGGTCACGAGGGAGAAGGAGAGTGTAGAGGCACGGCGAGAGGAACTGGTTAGGCAGCAGAGGGAGCGGAGGTTTATGAGGAAACCCAGTCCCGCTCCTCGCACCAAGCAAGTGGTGTGTGTCACCAGTCCGGTCCGGCCCGTTCCTGATTCCCGCACAAGGCCAGTGGTGTGTGTTCCCAGTCCGGCCCGACCTATTCCTGTCCCCCGCACCAAGCCTGTGGTGCGCGTCGTCACCCCGTTCCGGCCTGTTCCTGCTCCCCGCCCCAAGCCTGTGGTGCGCGTCGCCAGCCCGGTTCGGCCTGTTCCTGTCCCTCGCACCAAGCCTGTGGTGCGCGTCGTCAGCCCGGTCCGGCCTGTTCCTGCTCCCCGCACCAAGCCAGTGGTGCGCGTCGTCAGCCCGGTCCGGCCCGTTCCTGCTCCCCGCACCAAGCCAGTGGTGCGCGTCGTCAGTCCGGCACGGTCCGTGCCTGTTCCACCGGTGCCTGGTCCGGCACCGGTCAGCTGCTCCACACCGGAGCCAGAGCAATCCGCTCCACCGGTGTCCAGTCCAGCTCCGGCCTGCGGGGCCAGACCAGACCAGGGGCGCTACGGGGGGGTATACAGAGAGTGGTGGTCACGCCCGGAGCCGGATCCGCCTCCGAGGCGGAATGCCCACCTGGCCCCTACCCCGTTGTGTTGGTGTGGCGCGGTCGCAGTCCGCGCCTTTTGGGGGGGGGGGTACTGTCACGCCCTGGCTCGGGGGACTCTTAAATGTTGAGCCAGGGTGTGGAATTTCTGTTACATTTTCTATGTTTTTGTTCTAGATCGTTTAGATCTATGTTGGCCAGGGTGGATCCCAATCAGAGGCAGCTGTAGCTCGTTGTCTCTGATTGGGGACCATATCACTGATTGGGATTGGGGTTTTGTGTATAACCTAGGACTTCACGTATAATTTGGTTTATTGTTTTGGTTCGTGTGTGTACACAATAAAGAATGTACGCTTATCATGCTGCGCCTTGGTCCGCTTCATCTGTCGACGATCGTGACATTGGGTGAATTTTGTCCCATTCCTCCTGACAGAGCTGGTTTAACTGAGTCAGGTTTGTAGGCCTCTTTGCTTGCACACACTTTTTCAGTTCTGCGCACACATTTTCTATAGGATTGAAGTCAGGGCTTTGTGATGGCCACTCCAATACCTTGACTTTGTTGTCCTTTAGCCATTTGGCCACAACTTTGGAAGTATGCTTGGGGTCATTGTCCATTTGGAAGACCCATTTGCGACCAAGCTTTAACTTCCTGACTAATGTCTTGAGATGTTGCTTCAAAATCCACATAATTTTCCTTCCTCATGATGCCATCTATTTTGTGAAGTGCACCAGTCCCTCCTGCAGCAAAGCACCCCCACAGCATGATGCTGCCACCCCCGTGCTTCACGGTAGGGATGGTGTTCTTCGGCTTGCAAGCGTTCCCCTTTTTCCTCCAAACATAACGAAGGTCAGTATGGCCAAACAGTTCTATTTTTGTTTCATCAGACCAGAGGACATTTCTCCAAAAGGTACGATCTTTGTCCCCATGTGCAATTGCAAACCGTAGTCTGGATTTTTTATGGCGGCTTTGGAGCAGTGGCTTCTTCCTTGCTGAGCGGCCTTTCAGGTTATGTCGATATAGACCTCGTTTTACTGTGGATATAGATACTTTTGTACCTGTTTCCTCCAGCATCTTCACAAGGTCCTTTGCTGTTGTTCTGGGATTGATTTGCACTTTTCGCACCAAAGTACGTTCATCTCTAGGAGACAGAACGCGTCTCCTTCCTGAGCGGTATTACGGCTGTGTGGTCCCATGGTGTTTATACTTGCGTACTATAGTTTGTACAGATGAACGTGGTACCTTCAGGCATTTGGAAATTGAACCAGACTTGTGGAGATCTACAAAAAAAATTCTGAGGTCTTGGCTGATTTCTTTTGATTTTCCCATGATGTCAAGCAAAGAGGCACTGAGTTTGAAAGTAGGCCTTGAAATACATCCACAGATACACCTCCAATTGACTCAAATTATGTAAATTAGCCTATCAGAAGCTTCTAAAGCCATGACATAATTTTCTGGAATTTTTCAAGCTGTTTAAAGGCACTGTGAACTTAGTGTATGTAAACTTCTGGAATTGTGATACAGTGAGTTATAAGTGAAATAATCTGTCTGGAAACAATTGTTGGAAAAATTACTTGTGTCATGCACAAAGTAGATGGCATAACCGACTTGCCAAAACTATAATTTGTTAACAAGAAATTTGTGGAGTGGTTGTAAAACGAGTTTTAATGACTCCAACCTAAGTGTATGTAAACTTCCGACTTCAACTGTATAATAAGAATTTATATTTTATTGTTATTATAATGAAGGCCCTGACGGCAGCTATTGAGGCAGCCAATGCCCAGGTCCACGGCCCAGCCAGCCAGCACGTCACCAACAGCACCATCACCATCACCGCCACCGCCACCACCACTGCTTCCAGCGACAGCAAGAGGGACGCGCTCCGGAAGTGCCTCTCCATAGGGATACAGGTGCAGATACGTTGACTGTGTTGACAACACATTGACCACATGCTGACCACACATGGCCATATTGGAATGTGATCATACATAGATAAATCATAGAGTGATGGAGTAAAAATATCAGCCATAAACTGTCAATCTTATCAGAGAAAAATCATGACTCTTTGGCATTCCCTGTCGACCTATCCTGTGGTCTATTCTTAACTGACCAATCTCGGTTAACCCAGAACTAAAATCTGGTGTAATTTGGTCAGATGTTACCATTTATGTTTATGTAGTCTAGATTATTAATTGACTTACCTGTATAAATAATGTTTAAATAAAAATTGAATCTGTTTTCTGTTGCAGGTGGATGGACCAGAGGAGGTTGGGGGGACAGAGGAGCACTCCAAGTTCCAGTCAGTGGGCATCCAGGTGGAAGAGGAGAGATGGTGAGTAGAGAGAGACAGAGAAAGAGAGAGAGGATGTTAACAATTTTCTGTCATTCATGTTAGTGTTTTTCTTGTATCCTGTTGTAGTCCGCTGGTGTCTCTGCTTGCTGACTGTCTACTCATAATGCTTCCAGTTGGCACCTCTCTTTCTAACACTCCCCCATCTGGCCTGAGAGCTGTATGTATATACGTGTGTGCCTTGGAGTTGGGCCCAGTGACTGTATGCTACCGGGCCACTCATCCCACCCCCCACATCACCCCACAACAGCTGTCCCCAGCTCGGAGGTTTGGGCATCAGAGCCCCTCAACCAGGGGGCCCATGCGTGCAGTGACAGCTGGGGGACTAGAGGACGTGTAGCAGGGGATGAATAAGGGAAAGGGGAGAGGGAGAGTGGGCAGTTAGTTGACAGCCATCTGTTGCACCAGTCATTGTGATGTAGCCAAGCCACTTTGGGAGGGGGGATTTCTGTCAATGTTCTGTTATTTTCAGTACATGGTCAACCCCCCTTCTCCCCTTCCCCCAACTCTCCCCTTTGCCTGCACTACACGTAACAGTTCTTATAGCTTCCCTACCTCCCCTATATCTCCCCCTAAAGCCTTCCGCATGCTTCGGTTCGGGTGGCGCCTAGCCGAACATGGCTAAGCGAACCGAACGAGTGTGCTCGCATTCTCCCTTAAAAGTCCATCGCTTGGAAAACGAGAAACAAGAGGCAATAGTACTGTTTGTCGATCTTGAGATGCCGTAGCCAGTATACACTACCTCAAAATATTCAGAATTCATCTAAGATAACTCAAGAAATCATCATTAATTTTGACGTTTTTGTCGAGGAGGTCTTAGTAGCACGATTTTACATCTAACTAATATGAAAACGATTAGTCTCTCATTGACAACCAACACTTAATTGAAGGATCCCTACTGTTGACCAATCACAGACAATGGGGCGTAGACTTCGGCTACCGACTTCGGCTACCGACTTCAGCATGCCTAGAGAAAATGTTTTGTGTGCACGAACAGCCCAAAAAAACCTTGCCAAAGACCAAAACAAAAACATCGTCCTAATATATGCACGAACTGTTCTGAACTATTTTGGATGGGAAGCATGTGGATGCCTTAAGAGTCTCTTTACTCCTATAGGGCCGGCATATAGCATGCCAATTGGCCACCTCATTGGACAACTGCCCTGACTGACTTACAAGGAGCATTTGCATGGGCCGGAAGTCATGGGAACATTCCTGGTTCCTGGAGTTGTATAAAAATATGTCACGCAGCAGGCAGTTATGTGTCAGTGTGTCTGCCTGCGTAACTCCCATCCACTCCGCACAGTAACCCCTCTGTTAGTCAGAGTTGAAGGGAGATTTCCAATTTAGAAACTGCACTGGATGCAGTAATCTGATTTCATAATGTAAACAGAACATGGTCAGGAATCAAAGAGCCCAGTCTCAACCTACCAAGGTCATGTCCAGGACTGCATTTTCAGAGTCAGACGCAGGAATCTGGGTTGCATCCCAAATGGCACCCTATTCCCTATATGCACTACTTTTGACCAGAGCCCTATGGCTAGGCCAATGGGCCCTGGTCAAATGTAGTGCACTACATAGGGAATAGGGTGCCATTTGGGATGCAGGATATCTGGACTGGTTTTTCCTCAAAGAGCTTTCCTCAGCTGCCTAGCCAAGCATTGAAAAGGAGGCACACCTCCAAGCAGCCAAGGCAAACATTAACTCCTGTAGACACTTCCACTGATCCAGTGGCACTGGGGTTTAATGCCACACATGTGCCTTCCCTTGGTGTATGTTTAAGTGTGTGTTTTTGGCTGTGCATGTTTAATTTTGTGTGTCAAATAAAATAAAATTGTATTGTATTGGTCACATACACGTGTTTAGCAGATGTTATTGCGGGTGTAGCGAAATGCTTGTGCTTCTAGCTCCGACAGTGCAGTAATATCTAACAAGTAATATCTAACAATTTCACAACATATACCTGTCACGATCGTCTAGAACAGGAGACCAAGGCGCAGCGTTGCGAGTGAACATATTATATTTATTAAATGCTCACAACAACAAAAGCAATAAACAACGAAAGCGTGACGTCCAGTGTACAACACGAACACACACGAACAAAATCCCACAACCCGAAAGGAAAACAGATAGATTAAATATGGCTCCCAATCAGAGACAAACAGCCGACAGCTGACACTCGTTTGCCTCTGATTGGGAGTCACACCGGCAAACATAGAAAATAAACCACCTAGAACACCCACCAGAGAAACCGAAAACATAGAATGAACACACCCTGGTTCAACATAATGAGTCCCCGAACCAGGGTGTGACAGTACCCCCCCCCTAAAGGCGCGGACTGTGACCGCGCCTAAATACGAGCAAAACAGGGGAGGGCTGGGTGGGCATTCTTCCTCGGCGGCGGCTCCGGCTCCGGGCCTGATCCCCACTCCCTCTCCAACCCCCCAAAGTACCCCCGGTCCCGTCTAGCCCCGCTGGCCGGAGCCGGACTGACGACACGCGCCCCTGGCTTGGTGCGTGGAGCAGGAATGGACCGGAATGGGCTGGCGACGCACACCACCGACTTGGTGCGGAGAGCAGGAACGAGCCGGACAGGGCTGACGAGACGCACCACAGACTTGGTGCGGGAAGCTTGGATGGGCCGGACTGGGCTGGCGACGCGCACCACAGACTCGGTGCGGAGAGCAGGAACGGACCGTGCCGGACTGACGACGCACCCCACTGGCTTGGTGTGGACAGCAGGAACGGGCCGATCCGGGCGGCCGAAACGCACCACAGACTTGGTGCGGGGAGCTTGGATGGGCCGGACTGGGCTGGCGACGCGCACCACAGACTCGGTGCGGAGAGCAGGAACGGGCCGTGCCGGACTGACGACGCACACCACTGGCTTGGTGTGGACAGCAGGAACGGGCCGATCCGGGCGGCCGAAACGCACCACAGACTTGGTGCGGGGAGCAGGAATGGGCCGGACCGGGCTGGCGACGCGCACCACAGACTTGGTGCGGAGAGCAGGAACGGGCCGGACCGGGCTGGCGACGCGCACCACCGGCACGATGCGAGGAACAGGACCAGGCCGGCCCGTACTGGAGACACACACCACTGGCCCCACGCAGAGATCAGGAACGGGCCGGACCGGACTGGACACACACCCCAGTACCTCTCGCCGTGCCTCCACACTATCCCTCTCCTCTGTGACCAGTGGCCCCCTCAACCTGGCGGCCTCCTCTTCACACCCGCTGGACCGCTCCATCGCGGCCTCCTGCTGCCCCGTCGTCCACGTCGTGAGCCCCCCCCTAAAAATTTTCTGGGGTTCTCTCCTCCCCGTGGACCAGGCCTCCCTAGCTCTCGTCAGACTCTCGATCCATTGCTTCATCGACCAGCCTCTCTCCTCTTCATTTAGCGTGGCCCAGCCGAAACTCCTACTCCCCTGATCCCAGGTCCTTCCTTTCTCCTCCTCACGCTGCTTGGTCTGGTACTGGTGGGATTTTCTGTCACGATCGTCTAGAACAGGAGACCAAGGCGCAGCGTTGCGAGTGAACATATTATATTTATTAATGCTCACAACAACAAAAGCAATAAACAACGAAAGCGTGACGTCCAGTGTACAACACGAACACACACGAACAAAATCCCACAACCCGAAAGGAAACAGATAGATTAAATATGGCTCCCAATCAAAGACAAACAGCCGACAGCTGACACTCGTTTGCCTCTGATTGGGAGTCACACACCGGCAAACCATAGAAAATAACCACCTAGAACACCCACCAGAGAAACCGAAACATAGAATGAACACACCCTGGTTCAACATATGAGTCCCCGAACCAGGGTGTGACAATACCCAATACACACAAATCTAAGTAAGGAATTAATTAAGAATATATACATATATGGACGAGCGATGTCAGAGCGGCATGGACTAAGTTACAGTAGAATAGTATAGAATACAGTATATACATATGAGATGAGTAATGCAAGATATGTAAACATTATTAAAGTAACTAAGATACCATAGAATAGAATAGTGTAGTATGAAAAAAAAGAAGAAAAAAAATCTGTAAAATGACTAAAATAATAAATAAATACAGTATACACATATGAGATGAGTAATGCAAGATATATAAACATTATTCAAGTGGCTAGTGTTCCATTTCCTAAAGTGTTTATGTGTGTGTGTTCTGTGTTTGTGTGCGCGTGTTATTGTGCATCTTTCTGTCTGTGTGCGTGTGTGTGTGTGTGTGTGTGTGTGTGTGTGTGTGTGTGTGTGTGTGTGTGTGTGTGTGTGTGTGTGTGTGTGTGTGTGTGTGTGTGTGTGTGTGTGTGTGAATGTCCCAGCAAGGCAGGGTTGATCCTGGGAGGTCTAGGTCTGCCCCTATGCACTAGATTCCCAGACGGTGAGAGTGCATTTCTCCTGTGGCCCTGCCCCACTCACAATAAATCTGTGTGTGTGCACGTGTGTGTATGGGGTCATAACCTTACCTCAGTGTTTGAACTGGGCTTAAGCTTGCCAAACTGAGAGGGAGTGGAGCAGAGCTATAAAAGATAAGAACACTACAAACAACCTGGCTGCCTTTTAAAGACATCTGTCAGCTGCCTGCTAAGACAAGTTTACGTTGTCTAATGTAGGTTATTATCAATAATCTCACTCTATGATTATATCATTAACATATACTGTACGTACCGAAAATTGTCCTTAAATATAATTCTGTAATAACATAATATTATACGTTTAGACAATGTTCAGGTTCCATAACGGTACAAGTGTACCTAGTTTCATGCTTTTATGATAAAGTGAATGATTTGTTTTACATACCGCCTGGACTACAAATCTACCAATTTCAATCTAATTTATAATCCTAATTTCAACAACAAATATTCTACAAAGGTGTGCCAACTTATGTCATGGGCCCATACATTCCATATGGTAAACTCATTCCAAGATGGCGGCATATGGGGTAGGTGGAGGTTGGATTTTGTTTCCACAGCTGGCTTTGCAGTAACTGGTAACATGGAATGTGGGTATGTGTATGGTCTATGGTGGTCCCAAACCATACGGTCCTCAATCCACATTGACCGTCTTGAAAAGTCAGTCCGAGACGATCAGACCTACTGCTTTATGGTCATGTTAAGGAGGACAAAGGGACAGAGACACGGTCTGCAACCCTAATGGCTCCCTGTTCCCTTCCAGGGCCCAAAAGTAGTGCACTGTAAAGAGGATAGGGTGCCATTTGGAATATACCCATAACATGGAAGATCTATTAAGATGCCTTGTACCCCTAGTCCTACATTCTTAGAAAAAAAGGTGCTAAATAGAACCATATAGGGTTCTTTGATTTAGGGGAACCCTTTTTGGTGCTAGGTAGAACCCTTTGCAGAGGGTTCGACCTAGAACCCTCTATGAAGGCTTCTACCAATAACCCTTTTATCTTTGGAGGGTTCTTCCTCGAATCCTCTATTATGAATGCTTCCACCATCCTTGTTAGCCTTTCAAATGAAATTCTTTATGACAATACATTACATATAGCATAAGGCCTTTCTTTGAGGGCCTAGTTATACCGTAACACAGTGGTGTTAGGAAACTCCTGGTTTACAGGCCACATCAGTCCTGCAAGTCACATTATGCTGGTTTGCAAAGTGATGTGTAATTCCTATTGGAATCCAGCCAGAGTTAGGATATACAACAAGTGGAATTGTTTTTCACCCGCAACCAGCATTCAGAATTACTGCCAGGGTTAGGAACATTGTGCAGAGACTACCTAAACCATCTAAACTGAAACAAACTTTTCAGTAACGGGTGCAATACATCCAATTACTAATAGATTGGATTTCTTTTGAAAACGGTATGTTATTTATCTTTGTGTAGCATAAAAATGTATCAACCAATCAATGTATATGTAATAACCCAGATATTAAAACAAACCATTCTTACCCTGCAATAGAGCATGCTGGGAAATAAGATATATGGTTATATGTAGAACCCTTATCGCCTTCCAAAGAACCCTTCTTTCCTTCCAAAGAATCATAAAACAACCAAAAATGGTTCTTAGGATGTTAAAGGTTCTTGCAAAGAACCCTTTTCTTCAAATCAAAACGGTTCTGGGTAGAACCCTATCCCTCCGCAAAGAACCCGTTTGGTACCCCCTTTATTCTAAAAGTGTAGTGATAACTCTTACTGATGGGTTTTAGCTTTTAGAATTTTAGCTATTAGTGTCATTTTAGACTGAGGCTTTGAGGTCGCTTTCCGTAATTGTGTTAATTTGGCTTATCCATGTTTAGAGGGGTGGTATGCGCACATCCATAAAAAAACTTTCCCCAGGTGCTGGATCCAAGTGGATAACGTAGAACAAAAAGTACATCCCCACACTGCTCCCAAAGTGTTTAATAAGACTGGGACTACGTTTTGACCCAAACTGGGATTCAGCTTATCCAGACTTAGCCTGAACATGCTAAGAGAAGAAAACGACATCTTACAATTAAGGAATTCTACTGTAGCCACAATCCAGACTGACAAAGTCATCCAGTCTTGGAGCAGCTTTTCCCCCAGTTGGAGAGCGGAGCAGAGCAGGCCTCCCTTAACCACTGAAGTGATTTACAAGGCCCTGTGAAGGACTCCACCTGACTGCACTGTAACAAGAACCTTTTTTTGCTTTTGCCTTTTTATCTTCTCCCCCCTCTATTTCTCTCTCTGTCCCTGTCCCTCCCTCCCTCTCTTTCCCTACTCCACCCCCCACCCCATCTCTCTCTCTCTCCATTCTCTCCATCTTCCCTTCTCCCTCCTCTCTCTCTCTCCCTCCCCCTCTCTAACTCTCTCTCTCTCTCTCCCTCCCTCTCCCTCTCTATCAGTCAGTATGGGTTGTGTTTGGCCTTACCCCTCACTGCCCTGACACAGACAGGAAGTTGTTAGGACGGAGCTGCTATAAAGCGGGCTGAGATCATTATGACTGCACACCTGCTCAGAGGACAGCTACTCTTTAACTGCTGTGAGCACACACACGTACACACACACACACACACATACACACACTTATCCAGGCACTGGTACACCTCCACTGTGAGTGTCTTTGATCTCTCCTGCTCCTCTCCCCCTCCTGTTCTCTGTTCACGGAAGAGGGGAGATGAATGGAGCAGAGGAGGAATAGATGAATGGGTAAAGTGGAGGAGGAGGGACTGACCGGAAATGTGAGGCGATTTCTGGGTCTGTATGAGTGTCACCCTGTGGGCAGGTCATGTCAGTGTCTCCATGCTGTACTGTGTGTGTGTGTGTGTGTGTGTGTGTGTGTGTGTGTTGCCGGTGTGTTCAGGGCGATATGGCGCGTGCAGGAGAAGTTTTTTTTCATCATTATGGGCGTAGTTATCAGTGTTGTATCTGCTCTGATTGCCCGTACTAAATGTCCAATGTTCGTGCTTTCATGCCCCCCCCCCCCTTTTGTGTGTTGAAATCGCCCAGAAGTCTGTCATAGACTCCCATGTAAAATCTATTTTTTTCAAATATCAGAGCTTTCAATACAATCTCTATGGGTTTCTGAGGGCTTGCACTTACGCGCTTTCGTCATACGTAACATAACCATGAACGTAACTAAGAAAAGAGCGGGTAGCCTCATCAATCAATTCACTACTACTATCAAAATGGCTAGGCTTCAGTGCAACTCGATTGTGTCTTTGAAAGAAGTTCCTTTTTGTCGGCGAACAAATGAAGATAAATTGGCAACGAAACAATTAGGACCTCCCAGACCAAATTTAATAATTCAACAGGTTTCTACTAAAGGGGGGAAGTCCTACACCCGAGGATTTTCCAAAAATTGGTACGAACAAAAAACCTGGCTAGCAGGCTGCGATGTAGCTAATGCAGTCTTCTGCTACCCCCTGCTTACTCTTTCACCCTGAAGGCGGCACGGCAGACAGCACCGCTTGGACAGCGACTGGTGTGTAACGGACATGCACCATCTTTCAGGAAAGATTAAGAAACATGAGCTGTCAAAGACCCACATGGATAGCTGTTTGAGATTGTCTGCTTTGGGGAGAGTGAACATTCCCACTCAACTGGATGAGGGATACAGGCTAGCTGTCCGCCGCCACAACGATGAGGTTAGTGTTGATAATCACAAGTTTACTGGAGAACTGAAACTGACAAGGCTGACAAGATAGGACCCTTTTGTCCATTGTTATTGGATAGGAACAGAACTTATAACCAGCTCCTGACCTAAATAGATCTTAGCACAACATTTTACTCAACATATCATATTCCATATTCACTATAACAAATATATTTACTACGACATTAGCAAGAACCGCCACATCCTCAGCCGGCTAATCCAGTGTGTGAAGTTTTGCGGAGTGTTTGAGTTAGCTTTGCGAGGCAAAGATGAAACTGAGGGCTCCACCAACCCTGGTAAGCCAACACTTTTGAGATCAGTCAATAAATGCTTCTGGTATTGACTTATATGCTGCCCCTGTCTTCATGTTGTTGCTGGACATATCTTTTTTTAAATGTGTGTAGGTCACCTAAATCATCAGAAAAATTGCCCCCCCTGAGAATTTTTTCAGGAGCCGCCACTGTGTGTGTGTGTGTGAGACAGTGAGAGAGAGAGAGAGAGAGAATTTTCTGTCATTCATGTTAGTGTTTTGAAAATATGTTATTTCCATGCAAGTGTGTGACTTTGTGCTAGTGTGTTGGCACGTTGCTCTGAGAGACTTGGCAATGGGAGTCTTACAGGGGCACAAAGCCTCTCGAACCAATTCAAAAGCTGCACCCCCAGCTGTACAGTGGGGTCCTGAGGGTGTGTGCAGCAGGGCAGAGGGACTAACAAGACCACGCTCCATTACCTCTGAATCAGCCAGGTGACCAAACGCCCCTATGACACCCCTCCCAAACACCCCACACCTGGCTGATCTGATCTGGGATCTGTGTTAATATACTATGCCTGCATGTCTTCTACTAGCCCCACATTCTCTAACATCTGACCTCAGATCTGTGGTTCTCTCTCCAGTTACCGCAGGATGACCAGGTCCAACAGTGTGACCACGGCGGTCCAGGCCGACCTAGACGACCCTGACTACTGTCCCGTCGATGCCCCAGAGATGGCGATGCGCCACTCGGCCACCATGCCCCGCCAGTACTCCCGGGACACCTCCACCGTCTCCATCCAGGGCTCGGGAAACCACTACCACGCCCTGACCATGGAGGAGTACGGCGAGGTGGGTTTCGACCCATCCATCCTGCCCCCACCGGACCCCTGGATGGATCAGGTGGAGGACCCCATGGAGGTGGTGGGGGGAAGGGGGTCGTTGTGTCCCAGGGACGGGCGCTGGTTCCTCAAGCTGCTGCAGGCCGAGATGGAGCGCATGGAGGGCTGGTGCAGACAGATGGAGCAGGAAGAGATGGAGAATGAGCTTCCGGACGAGAGTGAGTAGTGGCTACACAGATGTGCATACAAAACAACATCAACTCGAGAATATTCCGCAGAATATGTGCAAACTGGTGCAGAACTGGGGTTGGGATTCAATAGAATCAGTAACACTTCTCTCCATTTGTGCTTTTTGGTGGTGTTGGTGCATGGTGTGTGTGAAGGTTGTATCAGTTGTTTTCCCTCCTTCCCTCTCTCTGTCTGTGTCCTCCAAATGCCCAAACAGACTTAGTAAAGGGAGTGAAATTGGCTGAGTTCCAAATGGCACCCTATTCCCAAGACAGTGCACTACATTTGACCAAGGCCTGATAGGGCTCTGTTCAAAAGTACCGCACTACATAGGGAATAGGGTGCCATTTGGGACGCAACCATAGTAATCATGGCAGTGGGCCACAGTACATTCTTGTTGCCTGCTATCTCCTCTGCCGACTTACAAGGCATAGTTATCAATAGGGAGCCAGCTGGGTCTGGCCATACATCTGTCCTGTACACTACCGGTCAAAGGTTTTAGAACACCAACTCATTCAAGGGTTTTTCTTTTTTAAAACTATTTCTACATTGTAGAATAATAGTGAAGACATCAAAACTATGAAATAACACATATGGAATCATGTAGTAACATTATTCATTTTTTTTACAAATCAAAATATATTTTATATTTGAGATTCTTCAAACAGCCACCCTTTGCCTTGATGACATCTTTGCACATTCTTGGCATTCTCTCAACCAGCTTCACCTGAAATGCTTTTCCAACAGTCTTGAAGGAGTTCCCACATATGCTGAGCACTTGTTGGCTGCTTTTCCTTCACTCTGCGGTCCGACTCATCCCAAACCATCTCAATTTGGTTGAGGTCGGGGGATTGTGGAGACCAGGTCATCTGCTGCAGCACTCCATCACTCTCCTTCTTGGTAAAATAGCCCTTACACAGCCTGGAGGTGTGTTGGGTCATTGTCCTGTTTGAAAAACAAATGATAGTCACCCTAAGCCCAAACCAGATGGGATGGCGTATCGCTGCAGAATGCTGTGGTAGCCATGCTGGTTAAGTGTGCCTTGAATTCTAAATCCCTCCTCCATGCTTTACGGTGGGAAATACACATGCGGTGATCATCCGTTCACCCACAACGCGTCTCACAAAGACACGTGGTTGGAACCAAAAATCTCAAATTTGGACTCCAGACCAAAGGACTAATGTCCATTGCTCGTGTTTCTTGGCCCAAGCAAGTCTCTTCTTATTATTGGTGTCCTTTAGTAGTGGTTTCTTTGCAGCAATTCGACAATGAAGACCTGATTCACACAGTCTCCTCTGAACAGTTCATGTTGAGATGTGTCTGTTACTTGAACTCTGTGAAGCATTTATTTGGGCTGCAATTTTTGAGGCTGGTAACTCTAATGAACGTATCCTATGCAGCAGAGGTAACTCTGGGTCTTCCATTCCTATGGCGGTCCTCATGAGATCCAGTTTCAATCATAGCGCTTGATGGTTTTTGCGACTGCACTTCAAGAAACTCAAAGTTCTTGAAATGTTCCGTATTGACTGACCTTCATATCTTAAAGTAATGATGGACTGTTGTTTCTCTTTGCTTATTTGAGCTGTTCTTACCAAATAGGGCTATATTCTGTATACCCCCCTACCTTGTCACAACACAACTGATTGGCTCAAATGCATTAAGAAGGAAAGCAATTCCACAAATTAACTTTTAAGAAGGCACACCTGTTAATTGAAATGGATTCCAGGTGACTACCTCATGAAGCTGGTTGAGAGAATGCCAAGAGTGTGCAAAGCTGTCATCAAGGCAAAGGGTGGCTATTTGAAGAATCTCAAATATAAAATATATTTTGATTTGTTTAACACTTTGTTGGTTACTACATTTTTCCATATGTGTTATTTCATTGTTTTAATGTCTTCACTATTATTCTACAATGTAGAAAATAGTAAAAATAAAGAAAAACGCTTTAATGAGTAGGTGTTCTAAAACTTTTGACCGGTAGTGTACAGTAAAATGGCCTCTCACAGCCACGCTTAATAGGGGTTTTCATTCTCAAACTCACTTAATGACCTCGTTCATGCCTGCTGCCAGCCCCATAGCTCCAGATTGACAGCCCTACACTGACACTGTCTGCATTCCAAATAACACCCTATTGCCCTACTTTTGACCAGGGGAAATAGGGTATAGGGTGCCATTTGGTGCGCATCCTCGGCATAGCCCAATGTGGTAGCCTTTGTACGGCTAGAGTACTACTCCTTAGATTTGTCCCTAGTGACTGTTGTCTTCCTTTAGCCTTTTACTGCAGTGGGCTAAATCAGGGTCACACAGAGTGTTTTCTTGGTAGTCTTAAACAAATCTACTTTGAAACAAAAGTATACACCTCACACACATGGTTATGGGCTTTAAAAAAAAGAAAACACCTTGTACCATGTCAGATATAGAGTTGAAATGTATTACATTTTGAGTTTGCATCCCAATATTATACTTTATATATACTGAACAAAAATATAAACACAACATGTAAAGTGTTGATAGCATGTTTCATGAGCTGAAATAAAATATCCTAGAAATGTTCCATACGCACAAAAAGCTTATTTCTCTCAAACCTTTTGCCAGATAATTTAATATTCATTTTTCTACCATAAGCCGCCTCCAACGTTGTTTTAGAGAATTTGGCAGTACGTCCAACCGGCCTCACAACCGCAGACCATGTGTAACCACGCCAGCCAGGCACCCGGACAGCTGATGAAATTGTGGGTTTGCACAACCGAAGAATTTCTGCACAAACTGTCAAAAACTGTCTCAGGGAAGCTCATCTGTGTTCATCGTCCTCACCTGACTGCAGTTCGCCGATTTCAGTGGACAAATTCTCACCTTCGATGGCCATTGGCACGCTGGAGAAGTGTGCTCTTCACGGATGAATCCCGGTTTCAACTGTACCGGGCAGATGGCTGTCAACGTTGTGAACAGAGTGCCCCATGGTGGCGGTGGGGTTAGGGTATGGGCAGGCATAAGCTACGGAGAACGAACACAATTGCATTTTATTGATGGCAATGTGAATGCAAAGAGATACCGTGACGAGATCCTGAGGCCCATTGTCGTGCCATTCAACTGCCGTCATCACCTCATGTTTCAGCATGATAATGCACGGCCCCATGTTGCAAGGATCTGTACACAATTCCTGGAAGTTGAAAATGTCCCAGTTCTTCCATGGCCTGCATACTCACCAGACATGTCACCCATTGAGCATGTTTGGGATGTTCTGGATCGATGTGTAAGACAGCGTGTTCCTTTTCCCGCCAATATCCAGCAACTTCGCACAGCCATTGAAGAGGAGTGGGACAACATTCCACAGGCCACAATCAACAGCCTGATCAACTCTATGCGAACGAGACGTCGCGCTGCATGAAGCAAGTTGTGGTCACACCAGATACTAACTTGTTTTCTGTGACCAACAGATACATATCTGTATTCCCAGTCATGTGAAATCCATAGATTAGGGCCTAATGAATTTATTTCAATTGACTGATTTCCTTAAATGAACTGTAACTCAGTAAAACCTTTTGAAATTGTTGCATGTTGCGTTTATATTTTTGTTCAGTGTACATCACAGAAGACTGAAATATATTTAAAAAACTGAAACACCGGATTAATGTTTATTAATGATGAAATTATGAAAAATATTAACATTCCACCCATGAGGCCATTAGAGAGCGGTTTGGTCATTTGACTGCAGGAAAGGGCTACGGCTAATGCATTATTTCTGATGGAGAGAACATTTACATTTACATTTTAGTCATTTAGCAGAAAACACAGCGTTATGTGAGGTGAACATAGACAAGTCTGCTGGTCAGCCCTTGTGTAGTGATTCTGCAGTGAATTTTCTCTCTCTTACATGTAAGTTGAGGTTGTGTATTGAGACGGGGAGGCTGGTTCCGACATCCCCCCCACTCTCAAAGCATGGTGTTGTTTATTTGGTGTGCAGGATAAACACTCCTCCTCTCATCTAAACTCACAGTTTAGGTTCCCAGTTCCCACTCTCTACACATTTATAGCCTTGCACTCATCAAAGGCAAAGTCTGTGTGACTCCAAGGTGATTGAACTAAAGATTGATGTGTGCGTGTGTGCGTGTGTGTGTGGGTGACTTCCCACAGTCCTGGGGAAGATCCGCAGTGCAGTAGGCAGCGCCCAGCTGCTCATGTCTCAGAGGTTCCAGCAGTTTCGGGAGCTGTGTGAGGAGAATCAGGTATGTAATACACACTCACACATAATGAGATGATCTATACAAGTTTATAATTGACACTCAAACGAAACACCGCTATGGATGCAAATTCTAGCTGAATAGGATTCTAGTCTAGCACCACTCAAAGCATACTGACTTTGAAGTGTGGAGGGACAAGGTGAAATAGTCCCAGACTAGTATGTTGATGACATACTGATGGGGAAAGGAGAATGGTTCCAAAGCTGTCCTGACTGAGTGTGTGTGTGTGGGTCTGTGTGTGTCTGTGCGTGCACGTGGGTGCATGTGTATGTGTGTGTTTGTGTCTGTCAGAACCCCAATGCCCACCCCAGGCCCATCTCCCAGGATCTGGCTGGTTTCTGGGACATGCTGCAGCTGTCCATCGAGAACATCAGCCTAAAGTTTGATGAGCTGCACCAACTCAAAGCCAACAACTGGAGACCCCTGGACCCCCCCGTGATAAAGGTACCACTCAATGTAGTAGACCCTATAAGCAATCTATGGACAAGATGAGTCAGCAATCCGTTTTGTTTATCTGGCCACTGTCTCCAAATGTTAACTTTTTAGAATTTTTGTCCACCAATATGACATGTTGTAAATTGGGTGAACTACCCATTTAAGTCTGAAAGTAATCCAATACAATGGAATGGTGTTTTTGGCCTGCATGCTTCTACATTCATTGTTGTTGAATATGGTTAATGTACACAGTTACTGTAGATTTCGGTTCAATGTAGCACGAGGTGTTGTAATGCATGTAAAATGATTGTTGTAATGTTGTGTGATAGCCTGTCTGACGTGACTGCCTGTCTGCTGTGTTTTTTTGTTTTTTTGTTTTTTTGTTTTGTTGTTGACAGTGAGCTGGATTGTTGAGAAGTCACTCTGCCTGCCATGCATCGTGGGGCCTCGCTGACCTCGCTGGCCACTCTTACCCCATGCACACCCCACACCTACCACGCACTCTCACAAAATGGCCGCCACTGCCGTCACCACCCACATGAACAAATACTACAGTGTACTATAGAATACTACAGTGCTTACTATAGAAATCTGTAGTAAACTGTAGAATATTATACTACACACTGTAGTATCCCTTGATCATGTGTCGGACTTACTATAGAATGTTGTAGTATACTGTAGGATACTATAGTAAATACTACAGTATTATCCACACACACAAAAACACTGTAGTACATACTACAGTAATGTCTGCAAAAACACTACAGTCCACGAAAACACAACACTTTTTTAAATATAGTAAATACTACAGTATTTAATTTGCATATACATTGCCCATTCCCCTCCCCTATATCGTAATTTATGCCACCCATAAGTGATAAACCTACATACCAAGTATAGACCATATATTGAATTCCCTACAAGTTATAGAAAAGAACAGAAGCTCTGAACTATATGTTCAGACCCCAGTCCTACCTACCTAGAGGTTATGAGAATTTGCTCTTTTAGTATTTCTCCAGTAGGTTTCCTGAAGGAGAAAGCTTCCACCTCTATATCAAAGATATTAGAACAAAAACACTACAGTAAATACTAAAGTATATACTTCTGTTTTCTTTTACTTCTGTATTTATACTATAGTTAACTGTAAATACTACAGTATACTACAGTAAAGTCTGCAAAAACAATACAGCGAACACTATGGTATTTATAGTATTTTTTGCATGTGGGCACCATCCATAACTTCACTCACGTAAACCCTGTTGCATGCTCTCACACCATGCAAACTCCAACAAACTGCTAATGTCATGACTTCTTTAACCCCCACACAATATGGCTGCCGTTGTGCCCCTGCTGCCAGAGGCACAGAGGATGGCCTCTAACTGTAGTTGTTTGTCCTCCCCCGTCCATCCAGGAGAGACGGTTCGCCCCTCCAGTGCCAAATAAGCCCCACAGGGGCCACCCTCCCCTGGCCAGGGACCGTTCTCTGGAGAGCTCCGAGAGACAGCGGCTAGAGGCTCGCAAACGCCTGCTGGCCGCCAAGCGGGCCCTCTCGGTCCGACAGAGCTCGGTCACCGAGAGTGCAGCAGACAGTATTGAGATCTACATCCCCGAGGCCCAGACCAGACTATGAGACACACACAGATAGAGACCGCCCCCCCCCCATACACACACATACAAACACAAACACCCACCTACAAAGGTGCACGCAAACTCCCACAAAGGCACACACACAGCACTGAATGGCGAGGGTGCTTGTAATATAATCACATCTTTATTTACTTCAACAAAAGAGTGGGGACAGTCACAGCAGAGCTGGTTGAGTGAGAATACTGTATATTTAGAAATGTTTTGCCTTCTCTCCATTTGATCCTCTCCATTGAACTTTCAGCTTTGATGTAGCTCCCCCCACTCCTTACTCCCAACGACGTTTCTTCTTGTGATGTCAACTCTTCTTACCGATATTCCACCAACCAAGTGACCTGTTGTCACCCAAACAACAGGTATACCAGTACCACAGCATTGATGCATAATGTATAATGTTTCTGATTCATTTGAACAGAAGGCAGGTTAGGGAGGGAGGGGTAGTGTACTAGTGGGTATAGACCGAGCACTGTCAGGGCACACCAGCTAATCCTGTTGGGTGTCAAACAGCCTGATACAGCGTCTGTGTCCCATATGACACCCTATTTCTTAAATAGTGCACTACTTTTGTGCACTACCTGGTCAAAAGTAGTGCACTACATAGAAAATAGGGTGTCATTTGAGAAACAGCCAACCTCTCTACTCTGGTAACCGTGGGTGAGGCTGCTACTGTGACTCACAGCACAATGACAGCAGACAATAGGGAAACCCAGTCTTTCTCCCCCTGTGGGATACTACTGTCACCGGGTTCATAACACACACACACAAGCACATGTGCACATACGCATGGACGTTCACTCATGCGTGTGTGCACACAGACACGTGCACCCGCACACACACCTGTTCTCAAGAGAGGTTTGAGGTAATTTACCTAAACCTCTTTGAGTTGTTAGGAGAGAACGCCTGAGACATATCTAAGACCTTCTGGAGACATACAAGACATCGAGACATTTACAGTATGTAGCAGCGACCATTGAAACTGTCCGTTTTAAATGTTTCAATTAGGATTCAATCCTAACTTCAATTGAAGTCACATTTTCACTTAGTCATGCATTGATGTCAATGGAAGACTAAGTAAAAATTTGACTTAAGTATAACTTAGGATTCGCCCCTTATTATTGAAATCCAGGAAACAGCAGCTCTATATAACTTGGCAATGAAATCACATACAAAAGCATTTTAGTCAGTCACCATATTTTAAAAACAATGAAATACAAAGAAAAATGGTATACACTAATGGTTTGATACAATGATTTTAGTCCAACACCTATGAACACCTTGATTTTCTATTAGAGCAACATACATGTATCACATGCTGTTTAGTTATATTATTTAAAACCGCAAAGCTGAGAGACTTTGCGCAGTAGCTGAATCAACACAGTCGGAAGGTGTTCAACCTAGACAATAATAGCAATGTAAAATCCAAACCTTTTATAAAATGGGATTTGGGTGAGAGGTGTAGCGTAGGGATTCGTAGTATTTACCAATAATCAATACAGGTCTTTGTAGAGTAAAAAAAAAAAAAAAAAAAAAAACATAAAAAACAGTGTGTGTCGGACAATGACACTATTCTTCCTTTTCTCCAAATGCAGTCTTTCCAGTTGCAGGAGCAGTGGTTTGATTCTGCTGTACTCTCCTATTTCTGAACTTTAGGGGTTATAGGTCACAGGGTGTCTGTCTACCCCCAGATGTGGTAGGATTCTAGGGTCGACAGCGCTAATCCTGCCTGGTAGTCAGGTATGGAGTTAGGTGAGCTCATAGCAAGCTCTCAGAGAGAGGTCAGTGCAGTGAAATCAGGGTCTGCCAGAATAGAATTGTGATTGACATTTTAGCAGACGCTCTTATCCAGAGCAACTTACAGGATTATTTAGGGTTAGGTGCATTGCTCAAGGGCAGATCAACAGATTTTCCACTTAGTCGGCTCGGGGACTCGAACCAGCAACCTTTTGGTTACTGGCCCAACGCTCTTAACCGCTAGGTAACCTGCTGCCCCATTTAGTGTGTGAGTGTGCGTGCCAGTGTCTTTGAGTGCAGGTGTATGTGTGTATCTAATGTGTATGTGAGTATATGGGGTTTAAGTGCTTGTTTCTGAAGTGCTTCCTATTTTTCAAGGTCCAAACGGGCCTTCCTTTTCACTATGGAAGTGTCCCAAATGGCACCCTATTCCCTATATAATGCAATACTTTTGACAAGGGCCCATAGAGCTCAGGTCAAAAGTTGTGCACTATGTTGGGAATGGGGTACCATATGGGACGCAGCCTCTGATTAACGTAGCAGAATCGACATACTGTTAGTACATACCTAAACAGGCCCAGCCTATCATTTTCAACGGAGCGATATATGCCTGTACAAAGACGTTTTCTGAGGAACATATTACTGACTGCATTATACGCATGCTGACATGAGCTAATTGATGTGTTGTCATGTCATTCTTGTCAATTCTTTCTTCTTCTGTTTATCATATTGTGCTGAGAATATAATTTGTCCTTAAGTTTTTAAAAATCACCTACTTCTGATGTTCCTTTACTTTAAGGGTACCTTTAAATGTAAAGTGTTACCAATGTTGTATATGACAAGATATTTTCTTATTCTATCAAGGGACAGCGGGAATTATTTTCCTCTTACGTCTATGTACCATCTCCGCATCCAAACTGACATGCAACTATTTGAAAGTAATATAAAAAATAATATGAAGTGTTTAATGGTGTTTTATATCCACTATTTATTTATTTATCCCCAGAAAAGAATTATGAATGTTTATTATCATTATTATTATGCACTGACAAGGCCCTTATGCTGTGTTTATGATTCTCCTTCTTATATTTTTTTGCTCTTTGGCATAAAATACACCTTTTATTCTGTCAGTAATCAGCCTTAATTTATAATGTGATAGTCGAGCACAAATCAGCCTCAGGGGAAGAATAATAAAAAGTGTGTGTGTGTGTGTGTGTGTGTGTGTGTGTGTGTGTGTGTGAGAGAGAGAGAGAGAGATTGTATGTAACCCATGAAAAGGCTTTGTCTCATACTGTACATAAACCCAGTCAACAGGTATGCGTCCCAAATGGCACCCTATTCCCTATATAGTGCACTACTTTTAACCAGAGCCTTATGGGCCCTGGTCAAAAGTAGTGCACTTAATAGGGAATCGGGTGCCTTTTGGGACACAACCTGAACATTACAAGAGTTCCGTGGTTTAATTGTTTATATCAACTTCTCATGATTGATTCCTTTGTCAGAATACACCATTACTTATTCTCTGCAACCCCAATCAGTTTGCATTTTCTTTATATTAAGTCTTTTTTTATCAGTTACTTGTATGAGTGAATCTTGAACACATTTGCTTTCATAGACTGTGGTCTTGGTTATAGACTTTTGGTTTTGTGAGTGTTAGTAAACTACACTGCTCAAAAAAATAAAGGGAACACTAAAATAACACATCCTAGATCTGAATGAATTAAATAATCTTATTAAATACTTTTTTCTTTACATAGTTGAATGTGCTGACAACAAAATCACACAAAAATTATCAATGGAAATAAAATTTATCAACCCATGGAGGTCTGGATTTGGAGTCACCCTCAAAATTAAAGTGGAAAACCACACTACAGGCTGATCCAACTTTGATGTAAAGTCCTTAAAACAAGTCAAAATGAGGCTCCGTAGTGTGTGTGGCCTCCACGTGCCTGTATGACATCCCTACAACGCCTGGGCATGCTCCTGATGAGGTGGCGGATGGTCTCATGAGGGATCTCCTCCCAGACCTGGACTAAAGCATCCGCCAACTCCTGGACAGTCTGTGGTGCAACGTGGCGTTGGTGGATGGAGCGAGACATGATGTCCCAGATGTGCTCAATTGGATTCAGGTCTGGGGAACGGGCGGGCCAGTCCATAGCATCAATGCCTTCCTCTTGCAGGAACTGCTGACACACTCCAGCCACATGAGGTCTAGCATTGTCTTGCATTAGGAGGATCCCAGGGCCAACCGCACCAGCATATGGTCTCACAAGGGGTCTGAGGATCTCATCTCGGTACCTAATGGCAGTCAGGCTACCTCTGGCGAGCACATGGAGGGCTGTGCGGCCCCCCAAAGAAATGCCACCCCACACCATGACTGACCCACCGCCAAACTGGTCATGCTGGAGGATGTTGCAGGCAGCAGAACGTTCTCCACGGCGTCTCCAGACTCTGTCACGTCTGTCACATGTGCTCAGTGTGAACTTGCTTTCATCTGTGAAGAGCACAGGGCGCCAGTGGCGAATTTGCCAATCTTGGTGTTCTCTGGCAAATGCCAAACGTCCTGCACGGTGTTGGGCTGTAAGCACGACCCCCACCTGTGGACGTCAGGCCCTCATACCACCCTCATGGAGTCTGTTTCTGACCGTTTGAGCAGACACATGCACATTTGTGGCCTGCCGGAGGTCATTTTGCAGGGCTCTGGCAGTGCTCCTCCTGCTCCTCCTTGCACAAAGGCGGAGGTTAGCAGTCCTGCTGCTGGGTTGTTGCCCTCCTACGGCCTCCTCCACATCTCCTGATGTACTGGCCTGTCTCCTGGTAGCGCCTCCATGCTCTGGACACTACGCTGACAGACACAGCAAACCTTCTTGCCACAGCTCGCATTGATGTGCCATCCTGGATGAGCTGCACTACCTGAGCCACTTGTGTGGGTTGTAGACTCCGTCTCATGCTACCACTAGAGTGAAAGCACCGCCAGCATTCAAAAGTGACCAAAACATCAGCCAGGAAGCATAGGAACTGAGAAGTGGTCTGTGGTCACCACCTGCAAAACCAGTCCTTTATTGGGGGTGTCTTGCTAATTGCCTATAATTTCCACCTGTTGTCTATTCCATTTGCACAACAGCATGTGACATTTATTGTCAATCAGTGTTGCTTCCTAAGTGGACAGTTTGATTTCACAGAAGTGTGATTGACTTGGAGTTACATTGTGTTGTTTAAGTGTTCCCTTTATTTTTTTGAGCAGTGTATATTGAA